AGCACTTTGGAGGAACCAGAGCTCATGGTAAGGCACTGTGTCAGGTCAAAACCGACTGTGCAGAAGAGCTCAAGGGTGCCGTAGAGTACCTTGGATGGCTTCCAGATCCTAGTGTTCCAAATGATCAGATCCACAATCCAGTCACGGAAAGGAAGATCAGGAGCATTAAGGAAGCCGCTAGAGCTGTTCAGTTGAAATCTGGTTTGCCTCACCAGTTTTGGCCAAGAAGTGTTGAGTACGTGTGCACCGCATTAGCCGTGTCAACAAATGCGGCAATCCATCCAAATGATTCGGATGATGTCAAGAATCTCAAAGCCACTCAGAATGCATATGAAGCCGCGAGCGGCGGTGACGCCTTCACAGGTTTGAAGCTGCCGTTTGGTTGCCTGGTGTTTTACAAGCCGCCCAAGCATCGAGAGCTTCCGGACTTCGAGCCGAGGACATACCCCGGCATATTCGTTGGCTGGAGGATCGACGCAGGGTACAAATTTAGGGGCATACACCTCGTCCTAGACTTTGAGTCGCTTCGCAAAAACACTCAAGGTTGTGGTAAGCCAATCCAAGTTTACGAAACAGAATTGGTCGAACCTTCAAATGGACATTGGGTTTTCCCTCTTTTTGAGGCAGAGCAACAAAGGCTTCAGCTGTTCAGTGCGAAATCAACCCCACCATCCATTTCAACCAGGAAGGCTTTGCCATTTGACGATGAAGTCCCAGATCCTGTCCCTAGGAGAAAACGAACCTATGTGACGTTGGAGAGGGCCATCAAATTTGGTAGAACCCCGGGTTGCAAAGGGTGTGAAAGGATCTCGGAAGGAGTACCGCACTCCGATGCATGTCACGACAGATTCCGTGTTCTCCTCGAGGATGAGAGGCTGGCACAGGAGGCCAAGGCTAAGGCCCGGGAAGAGGCAGCAGCAAGGGGGATACCAATGCCTCCGACTCCTGCTTCGCGGGGTACACCGGTACCTCGTACTCCTGGATCTGGCCCAGCACCTTCGACACCAGTTCCGCCCACTCCAGCAGCAGTCATCACGCTAACCCAAAGGACCAGTGAAGCAACCGATGCTCCTGGTACCACCGCCGTCGACTCTTGTCACAACTGTTCTTTTCAAGACTCTAAAAACAAAGGGCCAAGATCAGACGTCAAGGGGGCAAAGTCTTTGGTTGAGGGCGACTCCGAAACCAAGGATTATTGGGAGTTTGATGAAGCAAGGCACGCATGGGTACTAGTGCATTTAAGACCTAGAAAAAGGCTATTTGCGCCAGTGGGTAAGGATTGTCCTTTCGACTCCAACGAGGTTGAGCCGGAACGCATCACCGAGTGGAGATGTAAGGGGAAGGTTTCCGTGCATAGGGACAACTGGCAAGAGACTCCGTATCAAAGGATTTCATCCAAAAGTTGGTTTGGTAAGACGTGGTTCTTTCCGAAAGGACGTGTGTCGCCAGATCAAGCGCAATTGTGTGCAGCCGCAGCCAACCCTTCAGACGGTAATCTCAGAGCTATGCAAAGGTTCATCGAGCAAGCCGGTGACAGCCAAGCACGAACTAGGAAGGCCAGAGGATTAAATCCTTGAACTCACTAAGGACTTGGTCAAGCCTGCACGTGAGGACCGCAAAGGTCGATCGGCGAATCCGACACTCTTTGAGTTTTGTTGCGATGAGAACTCAACGTTGGGTCAGATCAACGAAAGAGGAATCAACCATTTCCGACTCACAACAAAGAACTCTGACATGTCAAGCCAGTGGGAAAATGACAGTCTTTTGAAGGTCATAGAACAATTTCCCGGGTGTGATTTGTGGGGATCGATTCCTTGCGGCCCCTGGTCGCAATGGCAGAATGTAAATCTCCATCAATACGGAAAACCGTTTGCTAAGAAACTCAAGAAAATGCGCAAGCATTCTAGGAACATTTTAGCAAACTACATTCGTTGTGCAGACAAAGTCCTCAGTCAAGGGGGTCACGTTGCCTTCGAGTGGCCGAAGACATGTGCCGGATGGGACTTGCCAGAGCTGATCAGGTTTGTCAAGAGGCATGACTTGTTCGTGGCGGAACCTCAAGGTTGTGCATTTGGACTCTGTGACCAAGAAGGTAAATGTCACCTCAAGACGTGGAGAGTTGTAACCTCTTCATGGAGGTTGGCTAAAAACCTAGACAGTGCCAAGTGCCAACATCCGCGTGACTATAAGCATTCACCTCTTGCAGGCAGTAAGACACCTAGAAGTGCCTTTTACCCGATGCCTATGGCAAGGTGCGTTTCTCAGTCCTTATATCCCTGGATTGACGCACCGCCTGCAATGCCTGTGCAAGTGTCAGCTGGGCCAAACTCCGTGCAAGAGTTCCTGTGTGGCGACCACGCCCCAGAGGACGAGGCAGGTCATCAGGAGCTGCCAGGAGTAGAACATGTGTTTGCTGGCATCCACAAGTTGTTGGAGAGAAAAGAATGGGGTAACTTTCCTGGAGCGCAAGACGCCATTGACAATGAAGTGAATGGGCTAGTAGCTAACGGAACCTGGACTTTCGATGAGGTAATCTACCTTTTGGCAAGATGTAAAAGGAACAAGGAGCATATCAACATTGCTTCCCTAATGACCATCTTGTCGATAAAGCATTGGGAAACCCCAGAACTCCGTAAACTCAAAGCCAGGATAGTTTTCCGAGGGGATCACATCCTCACGGAAGACAACAATCTTGCGGTGCTCCAAGAAGCAAAAGTCACTCCGACCGGAATGACCGGTGTCAACATCAATCTAGCATACGGCGCCATCAAGGGTCACGAAACTCGTCAATCAGACGTAGTAAAAGCCTACACCCAAGCGTACCTTGGGACAAAGGTGCCCACATGGGTGATCTTGCCTTGGGAATTGACTCCTCCTGAATACCGGCACTTCAAACAGCCGTGTGTGAGGTTGGTCAGGAGCCTTTATGGCCATCCCGAATCAGGATACCATTGGGATCAAAGGCTAAGGGAAGTGATGAAACTTTTGGAAGGTCAACATGTTGATGAATTTCCATCTTCATTTTGGTTTCCACAAAGGAAGCTTCTTGTAACTTGCTACGTCGACGACATTCTGTGCTCAGGGCCGTCGTCAGAACAAAACAAGTTTTGCATAAATTCGATCGGACCAATGGATCGACCAAGGTTTCGCTCGAAATGTTCGATTTCATCGAGAATGCATGTGCAGTGTATGAGGACTTGGCTCAATGTAAGTTGAGCACAGCTAAAAGTCCTTTCTGCCCAGAAGGTAGCCTTACAACCGCTGACTTTGAAAGTAAAGGGGTTTTGGCAACTTCTGCATGCAAAATCTTGATGAAAATCCTCTGGTGCGCTAGGCTAAGCCGACCCGACCTAATGAAAGGGATAGGGGATTTGACACGTAGGATTACCGCTTGGAGTCGAGCAGATGATAAACGGCTGCATAGGCTAATGTGCTACCTGTATGGGTCAAAAGGGTACACTTTACAAGGACATATAGGCGACCCGCCAGAACTGCTCAAGCTGTGCTTGTACACAGATGCGGACCACTGTAGTGGCATCGAACACACAAAAAGCACGAGTGGCATGTTCTTGTCCATTGAGGGCCCTAACACCTTGTGGCCAATCGCGTGGGGCAGTAAACGCCAAACCGCGACTGCCAGGAGCACAACAGCAGCAGAGATGATCTCACTAGGATCAGGCCTTTTCGGCGAAGCATTGCCAGCACAAGGCTTCCTGGAATTGATCTTGGACCGTCAGGTCACGCTAGAGTGCTTTCAGGACAACTCAGCTGTAATCCAGATCGTGGCTGCAGGTTATAGCCCCAAATTGCGACACCTCACGAAGACGGAGAAGATCGAACTAGGTTCAGCTTATGAGGTCTTCGAAGATCCAAGTTGCAGACTCCTGTACATAGCAACGGACAAGCAGAGAGCAGATGTGTTTACAAAACCATTGCCGGTGTGCAAGTGGGACCATGCACTAGACCTACTTAACATGGCATCCTTAAGCTCAACTTGCAAAGTGCCATCTCGTGAAGCGGAAACGCTCCGAGACCCGTAGGCGTAGGCCAGATAGTTAAATAACTAAACTGGAGTCTGCGTAGGACACTTTCCGAGTGTGAGAAGGGGGAGAAGAATGCCCCCTGCTGGAATCCACATTTTCCTGATGGTAGGTGGTGCATGCATGTCTAATTCAACCCTGCCCCCGGAATTCATGTTTGCTTGAACTTCCCTTTGAATCAGGTTTCCAGGGTTGACACTGATAACAAACATTCAGTTCGGCTTGGATGACTTGTACTTTTGGCTCAAGATAAAAGGAGGGTCGCGCGAGTGAAGCTTTCTGTGCCGCCATTGCACTTTTGGTTACACTCTTCACTTCATTTGTCTTGATTCGTATTTCGTCTAAAGTCCTGCTTATCAGGCTGACCAGTGGTTGTGCGAGTGCCTGCACTTTCTGGGAATGCCATTTTTGTTTGGCTGAAATCGAATTCTTGGATTTTGTTTGACCCATCCACGCAAGTGAGGTCCAAGTGGATCCCAGCTATCCCCAGAGTAAATAACCAGCCAACTTCCTTTGGTTTGCTAGGTCTCCCAGCAATAGGCGCCCGACCTCTCACCCGTTTTTTGGTTGGGAGGGTTCCCTTACCCAAATAGACAACAGAAAGAAGTTGGTACCCTTATTCTATCCTCTCAAATCTGGAGGGCCTAGTTTGTGAAACCTTTTCAGAGAAATGTCATCCTCGGGTGTGGTTTTGGGCATTTGGGTACAGCTCAAAGTCAAAGAGCTGGGGTTACGCGGTTTTGTCCTTGGTTCCATTTCCCAAGGTGCCATTTTGGTACCACTTTTTTGAGCCAGAGCCATTTGTTTTCGGCCCCCAGGAATAGCCATAGGTGTCCTTTTTGCTTGTTAAGACTAGATTGCACTGGTTTACCTGGTGGTTTAATCATCTACCAGGGCCATCTAGCTACCCTAAAAGGACGCCTATGGAAATGGCCTTGAACGCCTGCGCCTCCATCGCAGGTGGGGCGTGAGGAGATGCGGCGCCGTTTGCTGCGGCGCTCGGAGAGCAGCGGCCGGGTGGATGACCAGGAGGGGCGGCAGAGGAGTCGCTTTTGAGGCGGAGCCCTGGGAACAAATGAGCAAGAATTAAAAATCGGGCAGAAGAAGCTGGTAAGGGAGAATGTTTTGGAACTTTGTAGAAAGAAATTGTGTATTGAATCAAACCCGGGTACTTCCATTTGCTTAAGTATTTGTTTTGGTTTTTATTTCCCGAGGTACCCCACCATCCCGAATGAGAGATTGTTGCTTTGACAGTTATTGTTGTTTCCCAAGCGGAAACGAAAGTAAGGCTGCCGTTTTTCAACAAATAACTGTGGGTCAAATCCAATGGTACCATTTTGGGAAAGGTGCACCACCCATTTTAGAACCTATTTTAGTGGGGATTGGGATGTTCACTGGGGGTACGATTTGGATTTTGACCCATGGCGGGCTCCGGGGTGTCCCTGGTATTTCAGTGGGGATTCATCACTTTTGGCCGGGAACACCCACGTCTAATAGGAGGGTTGCGAGCTGGTTGAGAAGGGAGCCACGGCGAATCGACCGGATCTGACCTGTTTTTTCCATTTGGTGAAATAATATGTTTATGTTCGCTTTGGTCTTAAAGGGAATCGCTGTCACTGGAAATATTTGTTGTTTTCCCGAAAACTTTGGCAAATGAAAGCTCCAGTTTCCCAATTTTGGGTTCCCATGTGCAGTCCTGGGTTCGAATGGTGAAGTTTTTTTTTTGCTGGGTCCTTTCAGGACAGCAACGGAGGGGGTGACATTTGAGTTCAATTTTGTAACTCTCAGTTGTTCAAAGCCGACCTGTTGACCTTTTGGTTTTTCCGTTTTGGACCATATTTAGTCATGGCCCCAAAAGGTGATCACCTTTTAGTTGCAGGTCCTTTGGGCAACTGAGAACTTCGTTTTGTGGGAAGACTACGGACGTCGAACACTTCCCACCCTCTCCGATCCCTCTCCGCACCGCATATGTCGCGATGAGTGAAATGAGGAGGAGGTCATCGACAAGCGGCTGGCGACGACGCTTGGAATTCTTCTTTAGCCCCGCTCGGATGGAATTGGCTCGTTGGTCCCTTGTGGTTGCCAAAGAGGTGTGTTCAAGCATTTGTTGAGGGGTGGTTTCCCTTTAACGTTGGTGCATTTTGCTTGGATGTTAGGACTTTAACTTTTGCCGAGTAATGGGTTTTCCATTAAACCACTAAGAGTGAAGCTTTTAGCAGAGGAGTGGAAAGCAACCGAGTTAAACCACCATTCAGAGGTTCATTTTGAGGATGTCACTTTAACGGACCCCCCCTTTTGCCGGTTGCAGACACCCACCCCTTCTCGGGCCTGGGGTGATGTTTTAGAAGGGGAACCGTGTCATTAGTTCCCTCTGCGAAGCAAATCGACCGGACGTTGACATTTTGGTTGTCCCATTGTGGCAATCATTGCTGGACAAGGTAGAAGCAGGGTTCCCTATACTCCACTTTGGGCGGGCCCAATTCACTCACTTCCTGAGTTGCACTTGTTCGACTTTTTGGTTTTAGGCCATGGCACTCAATTTTGGTTCCCCTCCCCAGAATTAAGATGGAACCTCCCTTTAAACGGAACATGGTCCTGGAAGGCCCCCCGAACGTTGAAAGCCTTTAGGGTGACGGGAGAGATGCAAGGAGCCCTGGACAAGATCCCAAAACTTCCATTTGCTGAAATGAATATGTGTCGTTTTCCATTGTTGACATTAAAGGGAAACTATCACTACTGGACCTGGACATACTTGTGTTGTTTCTTTTTTTGTTTGTTTCCCAGGCAGCTTACGCAAATGTAAGCTTAAGATATGCTTGTTTTCAAAAAATGCACAACTTTAGGTTTTAAGGGAAATCAGTGTCCCTACTGAACACTATGTTCACATGTTTTCCGGACGAAAAAGCGAAGAGAAAAAGAAAAAGAAAAAAGAAAAAGAAAACGAAGGGAAGCAACACTAGGTCCCCCAGTAGTGCCCTTTCTCACCCCTTTTTTTGGTTGGGAGGGTTCCCCTAAAACGGACGACAGAAACAAGTTGGTACCCTTATTCTAGCCCCTCTACTGGAGGACCTAGAACATGTTTTGACTCAAATTCCTTCGTAACTGGTGAGCTCCGGGCTCGCGAGAACGGATCTAATCGGTTGAAGACTCCCTGAGAGTGGATTTGTACCCACCCGAAGTCATGGAAGTTTTGGCTCTTTCGGTGCTGGATAGGTTTTTTTTTCCCCAACAGCTGAAAGCTTTAGGGTCTCAGCCCAGATAGGCTCCGGGGCTTCCGAAGTGGATGGGTCACACATTTTTTCTCAGCTTCCCTCTTGGTTTGGATGGCTTGGTCTTTTGGAGGTCTGTAGCCTCGACAGCCAGAGGTTCCACTCCAAATCCAAAGCGCGCTCCCAACCCCAGGGACCCGGATGCTGTTGTGTTGTTTTTCCTGCTGCTGCGATCAGGGAACGTGGCTGAATGAGCTGAACCCTTTTTTTTTGGGAAGGATTGCCGAAGAAAGGAAAAACCACCAGTTGGATGGCTGTCTCGGGGCCATTCCTTTTCTCATTCCCTGAGAACTGGTAAGTTTTAGGTCTCAATCTTGACGAATCCCACGCCTGACGTATGGTTGAGGTTCCAGGCGGACACCGATCCCCTGCTGAAGTTTTTCAAGGCGCGGCGACGCACAAGCGAGCGGACAACAAGAAACAGTCTACATTACCTCACTCCCGAGTTACTGGAGTTTAGTCACTTCTGGGAAAGACCATTTTAACGGTAAACCAAAAGTCAGGTTTCTGTTTGGGCCAAGCCACTCAAAAATTGAGTATGGCTTACGACAGTCCATTATCCAACAGATAGGGGCAGGTTTAGTTCTCGAAGTTCTTGTGGCTCCTTGTGTTTCAGATCCAATCGGACGAATGGGACTCCATCATACAGCATCCCATTCAAGAGGAAGATCCTTCACGTCTTTTCACCCCCCCCCCCCCTCAAAGCGCCGCGCCCTCAGTGCACTTGGCAAGCCGCAAAGACAAAAAGGGGGATCCTTCACGTCTTTGACACCTGGCACAGCAGATTCATTGGACAATTTGCGGTTCTTGTCGCGGTGATTCCAATGCGTTTGCTGGTGCCGTGGGGCTGCAGGTAGCCGCAGAAACGTTAAAGGTCGATTTGCCAAGCCCGGCGTCCAATCTCACTCATGGCAAGCATTGACGGAACGACCGTGAAGCCCACCGGGCTTTGGAATGTGTTGGCCTTTCTTTTACCCACGACTGCTCAGGTTTCGAAAGATCCCCCCGTGGAACCAAAATGGGAATGCCGACCCCGAATCAAATCTAAGCCTCTGCCTCCGCACAATGGTCACTTGTGTGCTGCCCAATTGCTGCTCAAGGCGAAACTTGGCAATGTTCAAGTCACGCATATACACATGCCATGTACGGATTTGTTGAGATATATACACACGTGTGTAAATATGCTATATACATAAGTAGAGATACTCCAATGTTGACTCAGAGCCATCGCAAAAGGCATGGTTCTTGATGGCCCGAATTGTCACTGTGAGTCTCATTTTTCGGCTGCAGTGGTTCTTCTCGCTAATCAGCTACACGCAGGGTTCTGCAAACGGATGCATGTAAATTAATTGGCAAAGGTGATTTCTTCGCCCCCCCCCCAAAGAAAAAGCAACAACAAACAAGACGAAACAACAACAACAACAACACACACACACACACACCAACAAAAAGAGATAAGAAAAGCAGAAAAACAGGGCATACCTACTTGGATGTTCCACCAGCTTAGTAAGTAGGTTGCAACCATGGCCATAGCTCGTGTACTGATCGTCCCCCTGCAACCGATGGTTATCACCTACTTCCCTCACGTTGGCTGCACATCCAAGTGCTCCTCATGTTTGCGTGGAACCCAAGTAGCCGTACATGTCTGTTTGGGAAATGGATGTAAATGGACCCTGGCAAGCCCTTTCCGGTCTTCTCGTTCCTTTGCACGTAGGTAGAGATGCGAGAGACGCATTCTAGGTCCCCCAGCCAGGTGCCCGACCTCTCACGTTTTTTTTGGGGGAGGCTTCCCCTACTAAAATGGACTACAGAAAAAAGTTGGTACCTTTATTTGAGCCTCTCTGGAGGACCTAGCATTGGATTCCTAGCTTTGCGCCGAGGCTTCGGCTCGGTGATGTTTTTTGCTCAGGCGGAAGGCCAACTGAAGGAGGTGGACGGCGCTTTGGCGCCGGCGGAGGTTTTCCAGGAGGTGCGCGGGCTACTGGAGGAGGCCAGCGACCCGTTGGAGCGCAGAAGTTTTAATCGATGCTTCTGGGTGAATTGGAAGGACCTCACACGACCGAATTCACCACAAATTGTGGTTTATGTGGGGAGTAGCCCCCCAACCACTTTGTTTCGGGGACCTCACCACAAATGGTGGTTTATGTGGGGAGTAGCCCCCCAACCACCTTATTTCGGGTTGGTGAAATTTTAGAATTCCCCCAGATGTTTCAATTTACCAGGGGCGCTCAATTAAGGGTTACCCGTGTTTTTTTGTTCAGGGGAGGTTGTTGGCTCTTCTACGCTTGTGGCGTCGCTTTTCGAGGTGTCCTCACCAAAGAGAAGTTAAACATACAGTTGGTCCTCTCGACATGATAGGGTTTGGTGGTGTTCCGGGTCTCGTTTCCCCTCAAATTAGCCTCTACCAGGTGCGGGGGCTTCAAATCCCCACACCACTAATCCAGACCACAAATTCGATTTGCCCGAGTCCTTCCCCCCCCCCTCAAGAAGGAGACTATTTCCTTGACAACCATGTTTGTTTCTTCTGACAAATGTTCCGGAAGTTCCCCCAAAGAGGACCCAGCTGGGTGTATGTGCCAAACTCAAATTCGGTCGCACGCTTTTTCACTCATCCATGAATTCCTTCCATTTGTTCAAGATTATATTGTATTTCCCCCTGTTGGTTTTAAAAGGAATCGATCACTACTGGACATATATTTTTCCCCGCACTCGTTTGACCAGTGAGCCGACCAGCGGCAGCCTCACCTTCGAAGCTGACAGGTGGCCGCCGAGAGCCGATGAGAGCGCCGGAACCCGCCGCGGCCGCCAAAAGGAGTCGCGTGCGAGCGAGCGAGCGAGCCACAGATGGGTTCGAATGGGTTGGACAGTCCGAGGAAAGACATTGGTGTGTGTATCTGGGTGAATTAAATATAAATTATAAGGACCTCACACGACCGAATTCACCCCAAATGGTGGTTTGTGTGGGGAGTAGCCCCCCAACCACCTTATTTCAGGTTGGTGAAATTATTATAATTCACCCAGGATCTTTACCGGGTCCCTTAGATATGGTTGATTGGGGGAGGGCGGAGAAAGCAACCCCTGGAGTTGTGCCTTGATGGTGACCCATTTCCCTATGGGGAAGACTAGATCAATGGAATTGGGTCCAGGAACCCCCACCCCCCTTTTATGGTGGGGGGATGTGTGTGTGTGTGTGTGTGTGTGTGTGCGGAGTGACAGAATGCCCTGTCACCACCCTTTCGGTTTCGCAGCAGGGGCGTGCAGCACCTTTGGCATACTGCACGCAATGAAGCTGTTGCCAAAGGTGGGAAGGGTGTCCAGACGTGGACACCTGTACCTGCTTCAGTGATTCTGAAAGTCCTTTTGGCCCCTTGGTTGCGGCGCTGTTTGTGCTTCTTGTTCTTGCTCGTAACGTGTTCGACACTAGAGGGAAGCCAAGTGCATTGAGAGCCGAAACTCATCATACTCGAGACTTGTCGGTTGTACTCGAGACTCATCAGTTGTACTCGAAAGATTAGCAGTCTCCATCTGGAGTTCAAGTGTGTACACCCCATTCGTGGGGAATCCTCGGGTGTACCCATTGTGTGACCCCGGGCCGGCTCTGTCGGAAAATTTGACCTCAACGTGCGTATCATAGAACAGCGGAATTTCACATTTAATCAGGAACGAGGTTTCACTAAAGGGAAGAAAGCCGTCAGTTCATAGTGACGTCTCACCATAGTTGATAGCTGCCGATTTTCATTGCCTACCTTGACCATTGGTTGAACTTGTTGCTCGTATCATTGCGGTTGTCGATTGCTGACTTGTATTTGCTTTGCCTTGTACATTTCGCTCGACCATTGCAGTTGAGGGCCGCTAACTTGCATTTGCATGGATTTGAATATTGTCGGGTCTGATTCTCTCAAGGTGGAAGTGTGCAAATTCCGATCTGGTTGCGTCACCATGTCTCGACGTGATGATCGTGATAGATCCAGGACTCGACGCAGACGTGATCGGAGTCCGTCCCCTCAAGCTCACAAAGCACGCCGACGTGAGCACAATGACAACCAGGTCTCGGAGAACATGGATTGGAACAACTTGGTTTCATGGCAACACAACTCCGGCTACAATGCTGCTAACAACTTTCCGATGGTGCCTACCAATTTTCAATCGACTCACAACCCCACACAGCAATTCCAATACCCGGCGATCAACTACATGATGCCGATCCCTCCTGATCCCACACCGTCCAAGTTCATCCCACCAATGATGCCACCACCGGTCACTACTTCCCAACCTACACCTTCACCTGGACCTCCTGCAGCTCTACCGGTTCGTCCTCAGAAAGCCTGGCTTACTCCCTCGCCTGACTGGACACCTGCAGATGGCATGTTTGATGTCAATCAACTCTACAACTTCAGCCTGCCCATGACTGTTGCCAACACTCCACATGGCAACCTTCGCGACATGTCAGGCATAGATATTAGGGACGTACGCCTGGTTCAGGTTATCCACGGGGGCCTCACCAACTGGCTGCTCAGGCCGTTTGCACACGGCCGATTCGTGACGTGGGAAGGCTTTCGCACCCGCACTGAAGCCTTACTTTGGAGTACCTGCTCCAAACTACTACGAAGATCGCAGTCACTCAACCTGCTCACCCTGGAAAAGGACCTTGCCAACACGCTGGGTCTCAACATTGATGACTTCAATCAGCGCATCAAGGTCCACGACCATTTGGCCAACCTGGTACTTCAATTTCTTCAACAACATCACACCTCTCTCGCACCTGCTGCCCAGACCGATGACATGGTCAAGAAGTTCAATGACTTGAATCGTGCACATGAACTTCTACAGGCTCAGTATTCCGCATCACTTCGCGCATCGACCTCGCCCACGATGACAAACCAGAAAGATGATGCAGAGTTGGTTACACCGCCACCGGTCAACCACACACCATCCTCGTCACCTGCCAGCTCCCTGCCCACAGCCAGCGCGGCCGCCCTGGATGGCAAGTCGTTTGATAGCGTGGTGCAACCTCGGATCATGCAGTCTCTTCACGGAGTGTCGTCACCGCCGTCCAAACCGGCGGCGTCACAGTTGCTCACCATGCACAGCACGCCGGATGAAGTTGTCAAGTACTACACATGGACCAGTGACCAACCTCGCCTTTTCCTCAAGCAAGCACCCACAACAACCACTTTGGCGTCGCTGGTTAAGTGGGCCAATCACCCGTCCCGGCTCAACGGCAACAAGTCGTTAGATTCTATGGCGACGCAGCTTCTTCAGGCCAGGCAGCGCATGCCGAAGGGCGATGCGCCCACACTCGGTGCAATGGCAGCACTATGGGGTCTTGAACCCGGGTACCTTACCAAACTCACCGAGAAGGCATTGAGTCACCTCATCGTGACCGCTCGCCTGCTTTGTGGATGAGAAGGCATCATATCGACCTTCGTTCTCATATGAGCCCGGAGCGGCAACAATGTCACGGATGAGTCCAGGTGAAAACTCGTCCGTCAAGTGTTTGCGTTGCACATGATTGATTTTGTACTTGCTTGTTCGTGCATTGCCTCTTGTGTGATTGTCTGTGATGCTTGTATTCATGTCGCCGCCTTGTGGTAGATTTCGTTGGTTGCATCTCACCATGTTGGATGAACTTCGCCATTGCGGAATCTATGATGATGTTGCACAATGGCAGTCGCTGGACGACCTTCTGCACTCGTTGACTACATTCTCGACGTGCTGGCATTACTGTTTCCCTGGACTACCACCACCGTCGATTCCAATTGAAGAGTACGAATCCATCACACAATTGCCGTGGCTGGGTCTCATCATCGAGGTCTTAGTTATGGTCCGGATAGCCCTCCAGATTCCGAATTGCGCTATGTCAAACTCTCAGCACACCGTGGCCAACAGGTACGAACTTCACAGATGTCGGTGCGCTGCCTATTTATTGATCAGTTTCTTACAACGTCTCATTTCACAGGATCACGGCTACATCCCGCCGTTCTTCGAAGTTCTTCACTTCTACAAGACTTCTCTCTTGTGTGAAATCATGCACTCAACTTTCGCTGACACGCGACATCTACGCTCATTGCGGGCGCGATTTCCTGACCTCTACGACTTCATACATGATCCAGGTCATCACCAACAACCGTGCGTCTACATTCGACTTTCCCCATGGCACGCACCATACTATGTTGGGGCGACTGATCAGGATGTTCTACGTCGTGAACACTCACGCAGTCGCAAATTTCTACAACTACTTCGTGGACGGCATGCCTTCTTTGAACCGGCGCTTCACTACTGGAAGCGATCCAACACTTACTGGCTCTTCTGTGCTGTACCAGTGGAAATCAAACTTCCTGTTTCCTCGGTGTGGGTTCAAGAAAGCAAATGGCAATTCCTGCTACGCCCGCATTTGAATGCGCCCTGGGTACACAGAATCTTGCGCAAGGTGGGCTTCCGGGAACATCTTGTAGATTTTCGACGCCACTCGTTGTCGTCGCCCACTTCCCTCAGCTTGCACAAGCGCTTTCGACGACGACTACATCCGGATCTCCAACGGCAACTACGACCTGACACCCTGGATGACATTCAAGCCCACTACTCGATCCTCTATCAGCTGGGATCGAATACAGGAGCGTCGTTCCAAGTCATGCGTGACCTACTGTCAGCCGCTTTCCCTCCCACACAGCTGTACTACTTATTGCGGCTCGCAGTATTTGTCAACGAACCCTTCCGCTCCAAGGCCCAGAAGCTCCTCGCCCAGGTACTACGCAAACGACGACTACAACCACCCACCACTTTAACACAGCTACTTTTGCCGCCGCTGCATGTCCAGAATTGGAAAGCTCTACTGGGCACATGGTTACAAAGCTGGATTGCTTCTCATCGGGATCTGTTCCCCTCTCTTTTCCTTCCAAAGATCCGGGTTGTGGAAACTCGCAGCGCCACACTGGGCGACAAGATATACAACTATCGCACATGGCAGCGCAAATGGGCGCCTGACACATTCTTTCCGTGTCGCTGTTTGGACATCGATGATAGCCATCTACACCGTGCACATGGTCACGCAGTAATGTTGGATGAGTTTTCTCGCATCAATGCGGACATTAACATTGAAATCATGACCGCCTCGATGAAGGATCAGTTTTTCGGTGATGTCGACTTATTGCATCAACGTTTCACCACACAACTTCGCAAACTTGCTCGACGCTGGCATGTACATGGTTCCGGTCTGCTTTCAGATCTACAGCCAGTTGTGTCTCAGCTAATGGATACTCATCGGATCAACCTTCAAGATCGGGCTTATTGGTCATCGACATCGTTGCAACGCACTGTGGCTTCTTTGTCTTCGTGGGTAGTCATCCCGGCGGATCATTTCCCCTCCCGCGCACATGTGATGTGCCCGTCCCTGTTTGCCATATTGATGCGGAAGACATTCTGCGCGGGGGATGTCTTCTCACTTTGCCGCGAATCTGCAGCATCCTTCCGCTCTGAAGTGGTAAACACAGTACCTTCTCTCCTACGTCAACGATATGCATGGGGCCTTCGACTTCAAGCACCGTTGCCCACAGCGCGCATCCTCCCAAAGCCGACCAAGGACTGGCAGAAAGCTCGACCCATCATCTCATTCTTTCGCACATGGGCAGCTCCCTTCCTCACGGTCTTCGGTGCACTTATATTTGAACTCACCAAGGCAGCCTTCCCCGACATTGCAGGTCAACTCTCAGTACAAGAACTTATCCAGCAGCTGTGGGAAGCACTGTCAAAAGCAGATCCTGATGAGTACATCCACCTGGTGT